CAACTATTAATAAATTGACAAACAGCTTCAGGGCATTATATACAGTTTTTCTTTTGTAGGCCACACCTCATAAGATGCACTGGTCACACCTCTAATAGACATTATTCTTTCAGTGAGGGTGTAAAACAGGATGAGAGATGAATGTGAACGGAAGCCGAACACGGCTTTTACTCTACACCCAATGAGTAATATACAGTGATATGCAGAAGATCCTCGACTATTCTAAATGGACATCTCTAAATCTCAATCCAGATAGTGACATTTCCATTCTCCATACTCTCTCCCCCTTCAAGATGTACAAGTAGAGTTCAATGCTGTAGCTCGATAATCACACATCAACTGTATTAAATTATCCTAGATTCATTTCACTCCAGACCCTTAAAATCTTTCAAAGTTTTTCAGCCGGTGTTAGATTTGAACTCGGACCCAAGTTGGAAGGACAGTGTTTTAATCCATTTTGCTGCCTAACAATAGCAAAACGAAATCCTTGAAACTGCAAATTATTTGTTACCAGCTGAAGATATTGAATGGAACAAATTTAAGGGTTTTAAGTCACTTAAATATTACGTTACAGTTAAGTGAAAATTCTCTCTAACACAAATGATTCAATACTTGCCATAAAGATTGGTTAAAAATGGAAGGCATTAAAATGATCATTCCTAACCTTTATGTAGATAACTTTTTAGGACAGCACTTCAGTTCAACTTTCGAAACAAAAGTGCTGAAATGGATGAAGCCATGTTTTTGCGGGAAGTGTAGCTTATTAAAAAGCTCCACTGTAGATTTTTTTAAAAATCAGGTAGTTGAAGGATGATGGGAATTTGCTCAATTCCTCTGAAGCTGAACAAGAATTGACCATTTCAACCAATCGTCATTCCTCGGTCCTTAATTGGGAAGAAATGTCAACCACAACATGTTATCCATGCAGCGAGTTGGATGTTGTTTTTAGATATGTCAACAATGTGGTCCCTTCTAGCTCAAGATAATATGGTTACTGGAAAATATGAATGGGTACAGTGAAGGGAAATGCGATAAATCACTCATTAATACAGCTGGAAGCAACTGTCTTCAGGTAGATCCTCAACAATTTTCTTTGTGGCTGACTATAATTTACAGTAAACGAAGAAAATTGTTCATTGATCAAGGATTTGAAAGCTGAAGTTTCCTAAAGGGCTGACATTTTCCCCCATAACCTCCTTAAAAGAACAAGATTCTTTGCAAGATTCAAACATGAATAATTCAATTTGTGTAATTAATTGATGCTACTTATGCAATGAAATGCTCACCCTGCCTCTTAAGAGTGTCATAAGTGAATACTGAAATGTTAACTGGTTTTCTCTGTCTCCACAAATGCTGCCAGACCTGCTGAGTTTATCCAGCACTTTGTTTTTGTTTCGTATTTCTAGCATTTGCAGTGATTTTGCTTTTAGTTTGATTAAAAAAAAACAAACTGTCTTCAACATTTATTTCCAGAAATTGGAAAAAAACTAAGTAAAAATGGTAATGGCAATTTGTAGCACATTTAGCCCTATACTCTCCCAGTTGTAACATCCTAAGGTGCCATCTCATTGCTTAATGGGGACTTCATAAAAAGATGAATGTGTTAATTTATCAAATAAGCTATTCAGCAACTCTGACAATAGTTCTTAACATACTTAGGTTGCTCGACTGTCTATTAGATTTTCCGAAACATAAATCCGCCAAGGTAGTTTGGAAGTGCTTTACCTGAAATAAGTGAATTTCACTGTTTCCAAATAAATAACCTCATCAGCTGAAAGCAATTATATAGATTCAATCCAGAAAATGAGAGCAAGATGTTTACAGGGAGTGAATAGAATTTCAAAACGTTGGCAAACATTACCAGATCCAACTGCTATGTCCACATGCAAATGTTTTGTAGTCACCTTTATCCAGACTGTAAAAACAATGCAAACTCAAAAAATAAATCTGATTTTCCACTAAAGATGTGCACACTGAACAGATCCACATGGAGGTCCAAGCTCTGCAGTCATTGAAGGGTTATTTTCTAGTATTTTAAGAGTTGAAACATCATAGGTACTTTAGTGGTTCAATAAATAGATGTGAATGGGATCTTACTTGGGCACTTTCAATACACAACACTATTTACATGGGTATATTTCTCAATGAGAAAATACTCAGGAAAATCCATGGCACTTCCCATTAAATTGGTGCGTGAAGGTATTGCCATTGGTGCCACTGAGTTACGCAGACCAGGAGGGATTCAGTTGAGGGGCTGTATGTGAACTGGGAGGAGGTGAGTACAATTGACTGTAGTGTCTTCTGGGAAGGGACTGAGGAAAACAAATAAAACCAGCCAGGATTTCCACTGCTGACTATTTCAATGGCTCACAGATTTTCAGGGCTAATAAAATCTGTGCTACAAAGAAAACAGTTAAATTAAAAGTGAGGGATATTTTTCTTCCTTTTCTCAACCATGACAACAACATTATTGCTTTCAAATGGCCCAACAAGAGGTCTCTCTTTACTACAAAAGTGGGATTCACTAACCAATCGGACTATAATGATTACTTCAACAAGCCACATTCAAATATATTTTAATTACTAAATTCAATCTCGCCTTGTTTCTTCTCAAACTTTCATAAAATAGAATACTATAAATTCTGGTATAAATCCCAGGTCACATTTGAAGCTTCAAATTGGATGTATCAAATGTTAGCTGTCAAAAATTTGCATAATTCAAATTAAAGATGTAATCTTTTGAAGCTCTGAGAATAAGAACAAGCTCGAAAGCATTTCAATACGTAATTCCTAAGAGTCAAATGGTTACCTATGCTTTATGGAAGTATTCTAATGTGCTCCATTAATAACAGGCTCCAAGAACCCACTTTGGATCTTTTATTTAAATAATAAAGAACATTTTGTGAGCTTTATTATTTCTGCTACCAAATACACTAGAATAGAAGAAAAAATCTTTTTCAATTGGGCAATGAGCAGCTCAGCCTTTCTTGTTCTCTCCAAAGAATGTTTTACCATTGAGTAACTGGGTAAGGTCACACTGAGGACAGCAGTCACAGCAAATGAACAAGCATGTTCAGGCAGGGCAAATTCCTCATCCCACTCCCCTCAACTTGGTATAAATGCTTTCAATATAGTATCATAGTTAAATTCTTGTTAGCTTTACTTTATACTGGAAGCACCTTATACAGTAAACAAAACTACATTACATTAAAGCACTTCAATCCTTGTTCATTTGTCTCTACATGGTGGACATTTTCTTATTCATCCCGATATATTTGCACACTGACATCATTTACATACATAAAACCCTTGGAGTCATCCCATCTTTGTCCCCATCCCATTTAAATTTACCATCCTCTGGTTCCACAGGCTGTATCTGCCCACTACATACTATGGTTCTCATCAAAAGTGGTCATGTTCGTAACTTTGAAAATGTACACATAAACGTCTTAATAATGCAACATTTACAAAATAAAACACACCATGAAGCAAGGTTTAAGATTCACATTACATACACATTTCCTCTTATTGTCAACTACACTGAGCTGAAACAACTTATCATGGCCTAGATTTACAACACAATAGTCGCGATAGAAAAATCCAAGTCAGGGCTGGATAATTACAAAGGTCTGGTCCCTTGAAGCCCGTTGAAGAAATACTTAATGAAATGGTTCGTTTACATTGCGAAATGCAACTAATGTACTTACTCCATTTAAATTGGTCAATTACTGGTCACTGAATCATTCCAAATGGCTTGTCAACATCCAGAACCAGAATTCCGTTTTTCCAAAATCAGTAAATAAGGGGTAAAATCTGAGAATCATTCACTTACATGAGCCAGTTATGCTGTCTTTCATGCAATAAAATTAGCAGAATAAACAGCAAATATTTTTGGTTTTATGTAAGCAGCAATTGTTAAAAAAACAAAATGGATAAACTAATAAATACATTTTGGTGAAACTGTGTAGACTGTGATAACTGGTGCCACAAAATATATATTACATAAAATACATATTATAGAATACACACTCCACTGGTCACTAGAGTGCACAACTTAAATAAATACTTTCCAACTACAATATTACCAGAAAGCATTGGGTTCTATCATTGTGACACCAGATGGACGTACAATCTGTCTAACTCAGACCTACGTATTACCAAGGTTCAGGTGAATTCTGATTTCAAAGTCAGGAACTTTTTGAACCAAAATGGCAGGATTCATTTGATGGAAGACACTAAAAATGTTACTTCAGACATGAAGGTGCAACCTATCGCAAAAGACCTTGGGGCAAGAACTAAAACTGAGGCAATAAGATTGTGCTACTGGAACAGTTAACACAAAATAAGCAGAGTGTTGTAAGCAAGAATATTTCCATAATAGTTTAACTGAAATAATTGGTCATTGAAGTCGCACTAATTCCATTGCCAGCATTTACATTGAGCTAAATGGTGAAAATATCATGGATTATTCAGTATTTTGTAAACAAGACAAGCTGTTGAGGAAGCAATTTTAATTGAAGGATACTGGTTACTCAAAGCTTATCTGCCATTGAAACCACTGCTGGCCGAATTTTGTTAAATCTTGCTGAGGAACATCCTTTGTCCCCAGAAGGAAAAGGGATGATCAAAACAGCAAATCAATTCTGTTCCCATACCAATTCACTACAAAAAAGCTTCAGGAGTTAAAATCACATTTGGGAGGAAAAGAACAAAGAGTAACTTTTTAAAAGCAACATTCCTTACTGAAAGTGAGGTTCACCAGATCCCAAGAGCTCCTCCCAGAACATTACTGAAGGAATCTGTTTTAGCCTGAACTTTCCATATCATATTCATGGAGATCAACTAATCCCATTTTAAAATACCACATCACGAACAGCATCCCTTTAAGATTGCAGGTTCTGCAGCAACATTTGTAACTCAGTGAAGCCAATTAAATGTGCCAACTTCTGGTAATATTGTTCATGGAAGTGAATTTTGTGAATCTCAACTCAGACAATGAGTAAAAAAAAAATCTCTTCTTTATTAAATTGCTAAATTCCCAATTACTTTTCAGTAGTTTATATCAAAAGAATGAAGCAGTGCAACGAGGCCGAGCCAACATTTTAAGGCAGCAAGAAAATCACTCATTAATCTCACATCACTTCTCATGCAACGAGACAAGAAAGAGGAAATAAATCAACAGGTTAAGATGGCCATCTAATATCTAGTGCACTAAACTTGATTTGCTGTAAACATATTTAGGCCTGGTTTCCATGGCACTCCCAAAAGGAAGAGGTCACATTTAGAACCATCCTCATGGCTCCAGGCATAATATTTTCTTTTAAGAGTCACAAGAAGGTTAGAGTGGTTCAGAGATGTAGATTGTTACAATAAACTCAACAAAGCTGTCCTAAGCTAAATCATGTTAAGTGGAGTGTTTATTAAAGCAATAGGTTAGCCTACTAATGGTACAATTTTTAAAAATTCAGGTACACACTGTCTTAAACATTGTTTTTAAGTCTTAATTGCAATGCAATCCATTGTGGCGCCTAAAATAAATTGCTCAACCAATGTCATCCGGATCTAAATATTTTGGATTTGAGCCAGAAAAATATGGATTTTTGCTTTGTTTATAAAAAGGTAGTTCATGGACAAGTGAACACTTGGAATTATGAACTTAATCAAACAAAATGGCCATTTACCTTTGGTTTCTAGAGGCTAACATCCCCCTTTTATTCCTTTAACATAGAGTGCACTTTAACACCTTACGTCTGATTCTTCCTTGTCAATATTGTTCTAAGATCACCTAAACTCAGGGTCACTGAAACTGCAGGTCTCTGTTTAAATACTGAATCACTGATATCATAGGGAAAGAACTAATGCTGACTGGAGTCACCACCGTTTGTAAACTGCGAGTTATAAAAATGTCACAAATTGCTCAATGCTGCTTTTTTAAGAAATAGAACCAAAGGAAAAGTACACTGTTTGCAACATGGAGCTGTAAGCATCACAATCTAATAGCTAATACTTTTGTTTAAACTACTTGCAGATGCATTCACACTGTTGGTTTCAGATGAAGTGAAGAGCACATATGGGAGTGCATTGTTAGATGCAATTAAACCGAAAACAAATGGGATGACTGAGAAGGATTCCAGACCATCACGTCTCTGTTCATGGAATCGGCTTTGTGCATTTTATTTGCCTTTAACTGCCCTGGTTTGCATGCCACTCGGTAGACATAATGGCACTTTACTGTACATCAATATCCCCTCAAATTAACATTTGTTTTATTTAAATTTTTAAAAATAACAGAACATCTATTTACTGGGGACAATTCTCACTAAATAAAGCCAACATGTCCTGTTCTAAACTTCAGCCAGGTTCTCCCAGATTGGCAGATCTTACTGGAGTCTAACAACATGTAAAATCCACTGAACTTGAATGTCTTGCAGTTTTTAAAATGAACCTAAAGGTAACTTTCAAAAGGGCTCAAACCATTTGGGTCTTGTGTACTGGTTAAGGTGAAGAGTCAAGAGGGAAGAAAGATAAATGCTCGAATATCTAGGACAAAAAGGATTCCTGATTAACTCAACTAGTCATTGGTGATTTGATTCCTGCTGAGAGCATTAGTATTAGCTCCTATATAGTAAAAGGTCACCAAAGTAACTTTTGCTATGTTAACGTTTAATGAAAATTAGATTCAGTTTATCATTTGACTTTATCAAAGGATCTGCAACCTGCTTCTCAAAACACCTTTGATACGGTGTTCCAGTCTGTGTGTCAGTCCGTGAAATCATTCAAACAAAACATAAATTGTTTTATTGATTTGTTGAAAGTGGTTCAAGTTGATCCCCATTAAAGATCTTTCCTTGGGTTTGGTCCAGTGTTCTCGGTGGTTATTGTGAAGATGCCTTAGTCGCCACAGGAGCAACACAGTTCTGAAAGTTGGGTGGCAAAGCAGAATTGCAACTGAGTCGTTGGTGCTGCAGCCTCTTGTTACTGCTTGGATCATCTTCCACAAGCCATGTATCGTTTGCTGCCATGGTCACAAAGCCTGAGGCAGCAGAACAGGGGTGGTCCCCACAAATGCTCGTGACCTGCTCAGCCGCCTTTCCGTTCTGGTTGAACTGAGGAGATTCCGGGTTTTGATCTTGCAGAACAACCTGAATGTGGTTTATCAGCTCAGTGAAGAACTCTGGAACACCTTCATATCCTGCAACAAAAATCAGACCAGTCATTGAGTTTTCTATAAAAGCACTGCTTTTGCATCAATGTGAAAACCTGTTACTGCTTGTCAGGAGGCCACACTTGCACTAATTGTCTTGCATAACATACACTAAACCAGGTCTTTTTAGGGAAACTTCCTGTTGACATATTCCAAGAGTTTTAAGATTGGCTCAATGGGCACACAGGTTTTGTCAAATTCCAAAATGTTTTTTAGGGATAATTTGCATTGCTTTTCAAAAATATGCCTGATTTGTCTAGGCAGAGACAATAAATGGGTGGCAAATGAGCCACTGCCTATTCTACATATTGAATCCTATTGAATTTATTGGACAGGTCACCGGATGTTGGTTAGAATGAGTGGCAGATCAGATACTGCCCATTTTCTGACACCACTGGAGCCAAATTTCTTAACTTCTAAGCTTGAAGATGAGCAAATGAGCAATACAAATCAAGACTCAAACACTGCTGCTTTCCAACTTTCCCATTGCTACCTTTGGGATTAGCACATAGTTATGTGACCTATAAGATTGTAAACACAATTACCTCCATTATTTATGCTTAGCATCCCACACAGATAGAGGGGTTCACCGTTGCCCTCCATAAGATGAATTCCTGATTTCAGTTACGCTATCTTGAAGTCAGCCAAAAGGCATTTTCCCCACGCGGAAATTAAGGGCTAGATTATTTCAATGCATAATGAAACCTGACCCATCATATGTGGGCATCATGGAGGGATTGATAAATCAAACTGTCTGTGTAACTTTTAGAGAACAAACGTGTAGTGATTGGAATGAGGTCAGCCGGGTGGACCTCAGAATAAGTTCCTGGATTGGACCAGGTTAACAGGCCCAATCAAGGAGTCCTGGCTGACAGGAGTGTCTAGGGTTCTATTGGCTCCAGGAGCCGGCTCCAAGATGGCTGGGGCAGTGTCATGTATTATGCACACGTAAATAAAAGATAACTTGGCAACAGGATAATAACGTTTGTGGCGTTATTTCAAAATGCTTTCAAGATAATATAATTAAGTTCTTGTTACCTCTACTTTAGAGACTGGGCTTCTCTTTGCCCAATTGAAAAAGATTTTCTCTTCGCAGGAGTAGTCTAAGTTGTTGCTAAGGAGATCTGTATTTCTCCCTGTTCTCTTCTCCATAGCTAAACACTTTGGAATTTTTTAAAGTCAGGGCTAACAAGATCTGCCATATCAGCATATGACAGCCAATTAGAGCTGGCATCTGACGAGTGCAAAATACTTTGGGCCTTTTCCCATATTCCTTTCATTTCTAAAAGAACACTCTTTGTCCTCAGAGTATTTAAGCCGAATCTAGGCTTTAATCACATTGAACACAGATTTAAAAGGTCCAGTTTTAATTAGGTTTTGTAAAAAGACAAACCGAAATCTCACAGCCTCTGAGACATGTGCACTTAAATGTTTTAGTTAAAATACCAAAATTCACCATGTCATATGCAAACTAGAAAGAGGATGTGATGCAGTAATATTAGAATGAGAAAAGATATACTATCAAAATTTCACATCCCAGATAAAGGAAAAACCATTGATGCCACAAAATAAAGCAATTAGCTGAAAGATTACATACAACTTCAAGGAATTGCTGAATGGTTAGGGTTATTGGCACATACTGTCAGGACCAGCATGCTGGTCCTCTCATGTTTCTCTTCCAAGAGAGTATTTAAGAGTCAATTGCATTGCTGTGCATGTAGGTCAGACAAAGAGGCAGAGGGTCAGCCAGGTGGACTTCATAGAAGGAGTTCCCTGATTGGACCAGATTAACCGCCCCATTCAGGGAACCCTGGCTGACAAATTAGAACAGGAGTGTCAGACATCCTGTTCACTCAAAGCTGGCTTGGAGGGAGCGTGATCAGTGTCAAGGAGCCTCCACCTGTAAATAAAAGGTGACTTGGAGATGGGATACTGGCCTCTCTGGACTTACTTCAGAAGCTTTGCAGATGACAAAGCTGGGTGGGAGGTTGAACTGTGAGGAAAATACAGAGAGATATTAGAGTGTGACTCCAGTAGGGTGAGTTGGCAAAATGAAGTATAATGTGCATGAAGGTGAGGTTATCCATTTTGGTATCAAAAACAGGAAGGCAGATTATTATAGGAATGGTGATAGATTCGAAAAGAGGGAGGTGCAATAAGACCTAGGTGTCCTTGTACTGAAACTGAGCATGCAGTGAAGGCGGCAAATGGCATGACAGGACTGACATGAGAGAGACCGGATCGGTTAGGACTATATTCATTGGAGTTTAGAAGAATGAGGGGAATGGTCTCTTAGAAACCTATTCATTTCTACCAGGGCTAGACAGGGTAAACATAGGATGGATGTTCCTGATGATTGGGAAGCCTAGAAACAGGGGTCATCTTTTAGGGATACCATGCAGACCATTTAATACTGAGACACGAAGAAATTTCTTAACCTAGGCAGTCCAGAGTCTGTGAAATTCTCTGTCATAGAAAACAATTGGGGCCAAAACACTGAATGCTTTCAGTAACAAGTTAGCTATAGTTCTTAGGGATAAAGGAAGCAAAGGGTATGGGGAGAAAGTGGGAACAGGGTACTGAGCTGGATGCTCAGCCATGATCAGATTGAATGGTGCAGCAGGCTCAAAGGGCTGAATGGCCTACTGTTGTTCCTATTTTCTATGTTTTATTTCCTTTCCTAAAAGGACATCGTCAAAACAGATGGCTTTCTATGAAAATTGATGAAAGTTTCATAGTCATCATTACAGAGACCAGCTTTCAATTCTGGATTTTTTAAAATTGAATTTAAAATCCAGCAGCTTCAGTAGCGGGATTTGAGTCTGTTAACATTAGCCTCAAGCTCTGGATTACTAATCCTGTGACAGTGTCAACATTGCCAAAGTCACAATCAGAGCTTTCATAGCCATGGGCCTTTCACTCAATCTCAATTCATTTTAATTCCTCCAGCATTAGTGTAGAAATAGGAAAAGTACACCAGAAAGTGCCTTCAGCCTGCTCGGCTAGAGGTGGCCTAGACCATTCCCTCTCGGTTTTAGTTAAGCACTATGGAAAGGTTACAAACTTGTTTATCTGAGAACTTGTTTCCAGCTGACTGGTTGGAGTTTGCTTTGAGTGGTTTATGGCATGACCACTTCCATCTAGAAGGACAAGGGTAGCAGATGTACGGGAATACCACCACCTTCAAGTTCCCCTTGAAGCCACTCATCATCCTGATTTGGAAATATATTGCCGTTCCTTCACTGTCACTGGGTCAAAATGCTGGAATTCCCTCTCTAATGGCATTAGGGACAGGCAATAAATGTTGGTCAGCTAGTGACACCCACGTCCCACAAAAGAATGAAAAATAAGAAGAAAATTATCTACACCCTCTGAATGGAATCTTATGTTATGAAGGTTTTGTGTCTGTATAAATCTAGTATTTGGTTATGGTATAACAACAGTTCCTTTGACCACTAAAACTGGAGAAAAATATTGCAATGCTTGAAATCTGAAATAAAGACAAAAAGTGCTGGAGATACTCAGCACCTCTGTCAGTGTCTGTGAAAAGAGAAACAGAGTTAACGTTTTGAGTTGAATCTGACTCTTTCTCACAACCTTTGACTAAGCAGATTAGCTGTCGAATGTTACTGAAAAAGAATGATTGATACGATTTACAATTACTGTATAAGATTTGAAAAATTAATATTATAGTAAATAATGCCCAAACGTATTCTCAATATTTTGGGTTGTTTCTTGCAATCACCAGTGTTTGTAATCATAGGTTTTATTTATAATGATAACTTGACAACGTCTTGAGTAGGAGGCCCTTCGGCCCATTGAGGCTGCACCAGCCACTCTGAAGACCAATACTGTTAGCCCTACTCTCCTGTTCTTTCCCCATATCCATGGAATATTTTAGCCTTTGTGTATTTATCCAATTCCCTATGAAGGCTACCACAGAATCTATTTCTAGTACTCTATAAGGAAGGGTATTCCAGATCTTAATCAGTCATCGTGTAAAAGGTACTTTCTCTCATTTTGTCTCTGGTTCTTTTGACAATCACCTTTGCTTTGGTACTGTACAAATAACAACATCTGCAAAGGGTGGGTGTTACAAGCAGATGAACAAAAGCAGGAAGAACATTTGGTACAGTGATTAATGGAAATTCCAGTTTTATACAATATTAAGGGTCATCTGTGCGTGGTAGGATTGCAGCTCTTCCAAAGGCGTGGATGTGAAACACAATATACACAAGAGTGGGACCAATTCATCTGATGCAGAAAGTAAACATCACAGAAAATAAACTACAAAAGCTGTGTTTATACACTGCAGTCATGTTACGTTTCCGAACAAAATCCGAGACTGGGTGACTAAACTTCAAAAAATCATCTGGATGAAAAACAACATCTGGAAGTCAAAGCAAGGTGCCAGACCAATTTAGCCAACATTTTTATTTTCTTGAGAGAAAACTGCAAAATGACACATCTATTCATCTGTTGCAATAAGCTCACTGCTGCAGTGAATATCAACCCTCTGGTGCTCAAGTGAAGAGTGAACCTTCGTTGCTCAAGACTGGAATTTGTTTTTTTTTTTTAAAAAAATATTCATAACAGCATCTCTGGCTGGGCCAGCATGTATTACCCCTCCCTAGTTTCCCTCGAGAAGGTGATGGTGAGCTACCTCCTTAAACCACTGCAGTCTATTCAGCGCAGGTATATCCGCAATACCTTTAGGGAGGAAGAGCCAGCATTTTGACCCAGCAACACTGAAGGAACAGGGATGCATTTTGGAGTCAGGATAGTGAATGGCTTGAATGGGAGCTTGCAGTCAGCTGAGCAACAGCAACATTAAATCTGAATTGATGCCATAAAAGAACATTTTTTCCTCAGATGCAGCTACAGGTGCTGCAGTTATTAATAATATTTTAGAAAAAAAAAGTGGACCAAATCCAAAGGGAGGCTAAACATATTCAATAAAATTTGGGTTTGAAAGTGGATGGAAACAG